GAGGTGTCCCGAAGTAGGACAAAGGCAGACAACGAACCTCTTCAACAATGTCCTAACAAGCAACCACTCAACCAATCACAAACTGAGCTTTCTGGCAGTGTACATTCCCAACTAGGACCCTGAGATAGCATATACTCTCGTCTTAGAACGCGGATGAGCATGCACCCTCAGTTAGGCCCACATACGAGCATACATTCACGGTTGGGGCCACACTCTGATATTTAACATGAGAAACCTTCCAGGTGAAGTGTTAATTCACGGCTAGGCCTGCAAGGAGCGTCATCCACCTCACATCGAAATAGGCAACACGACGGACAGAGAGAAGTAGTCACTCAATCTGGCTTAAGTTCAACTAACAGCTTGCAAGTAATTCGCTTGCCTACTAAGAACATACCACATGCACCATAATCGCAACATAGATAAGCCGAGCATATGGAAGAAAAGCCTAGACTAACAAGTCACAACCGGGGACTGTCGGAAGCTCTGCTGCCCTACTAGAGGAAAATTCAGGAAGAAGTTGATAGGCTCTTAACCGAACGATTGCGCGATTTCCAGTGCAACGAAGATACTGACGAGGCGCTCCAACGAGACATGACCAACATAAGCAGGTCACCTTTCATTGACAAGATTGGGCAGACGAGACTATCCCACATAGATTGTCGGATACAAAAAACTCAATCTAATGGCGCTCTGGGGGTAAACGAGTACCAGAATGACACCAACCTAACTACCAAGAATCAAAGGCTTGCCTTGTTCTTAACATTTCAGACTATTCAATACTGAAACAACAAATCACCAATATGTGAGCATCACAAACCTAATGGTTCAATTCCTCATGTTGCGCATAACCTGGCCCAAGCCAGCCCTAGCTCTGCGCTCGTAGTCGTGCCTACTTGCTCCACGGCTCCCCGCAACCCTTGATTTATCACCATGGCTCCTAACTGTGTCGATCTACCACCACGGCTCCCAACCGTGCCAATCTTTCCATGTGGCTCTCGCTGACCAAGCCAATGGCACTCCAAACTTTAAAGCATTCAACGACGGAGCAGAAGACAAGGCTTTATTAGTAGCCCTTACTAATGAAAGACTGAGCGGTGAAGAAGCTTGCAATCCATTCAGATTCTCAGCTGATCACCAACCAAGACTTAAAAGGGCATACGACGAAACATCTAATGATGGTGCAATACTTGATAAAAGTATGGAAGCAGGTCACTGCGCTTCCCATGTACACCTTTACACGGGTTCAACAAACAGTTCGAAGTTTCAAGCAGATCGCCAAACAAGACCTCATAGGTTGAGGATTATTTCAGTTGTCTAGCAATCCAGTTTTCCTCAGTTGCACTCATAACAATGACTTTCATGCTCTCCAGTGCGAGGTGGTAAACTAATTCCCCGACACCCATATGGGTATGCTCTCCGGTGTGAAAGGATAAACTAATTGCTCTCCAATGCAAAAGGGTAAACCAATTCTCTGACACCCATCTGGGTCTATTCTCCAGTGCGAGAGGATAAACTAATTCCCCAACACCTATCTGGGTCTACTCTCTAATGCGATAGGATAAACTAATTGCTCTCCAGTGCGAAAGGGTAAACTAATTCCCCGACACCCATCTGGGTTTGCTCTCCAGTGCGAGAGGATAAACTAATTGCTTTCCAGTACGAGAGGGTAAACTAATTTCCCATCTGGGTCTACTCTCTAGTGCGAGAGGATAAACTAATTGTTCTCCAGTGCGATAGGGTAAACTAATTCTCCGAGACCTATATGGGTCTGCTCTCTAGTACAAGAAGACAAACTAATTGTTTTCCAGTGTGAGAAAGACACATAACTTTAAAGATCGAATACTCGAAGACCAGCTAAGCAGTAAATAGTAAGGGGCAGCAGCCACTTCGCACTCAACAGTTCGCTCATCCAACACTTCATCTTCAGTAGCTCCGATCTAGGTAGCTCCGTCCTTGATTGCTCTATCTACGGCAGTTGAAAAATCAAATTTAAGCAGTTTCCTCATTCTTGGCAAGCATTCCAGACGTGGTAGCCCAAACCGTGGCTTATGCACGCTACTTCCTCGTCCCATGTCGAGCCAGCATTTGGCTTTAATCAAGCCGAGCAGCATAAGTTGTGGCCCCTGCCACACCACCTCCTCGGCTTATGCCAAGTCGACTTCTGGCCTTTACCAGCCGACGTACCGCACCACCCCGATGGCTGCCCCATGGAAGCACCACCCAAGAAGAAGACAAAGAAAATTAAGTTTTTCTTACATTGGTGCGGCGCGGATAAGATAAAGAAATCAACGAAAGATGGTTCTTTGCACGAGCAAGCAAAGAAGAGTGCTAGGGGATGAGGAAAAAATATCCTCTAGCTTTCTCTTTTTCTTTTAGGGATAAATAATTGCCCTCTGAAGTTGATTTAATCCCCTACTTATCTAACAGGTTATCACACAACACATCCACACAACTCGGGTATGTAGATGTCTATAACTGTAAGACACTGTTGAAGATATCTATGTATATATTTCTTCTCTGGCGTAACCCAGAGTCGTACAGCTTCACCTTCGGATGATAGGGCTTACCATGTTTATTCACTGGTGTAACCTAGTGTCGTACAACTTCACCTTCGGGTGATGGACATGTACTGCCTTTGGGTGAATGATAAGTTGATGATATTGATGATATACCCCCATCTTCACTAGCCCGAGGCTAGTGTCAATGTGTGATGTTATATATTTCTTCTCTAGCATAACCCAGAGTCGTATAGTTTCACCTTCGGGTGATAGGGCCTACCATGTTTCTTTACTGGTGTATCCTAGTGTCGTACAACTTCACCTTCGGATGATGGACAGATACTGCCTTCGGGCTACTATGATACCCCTAGAGAGTATAGTATTGATGAGATTTATGGATTTTCCTTCGGACGATGATAGCACCATTATTGAGCATGGTTTTACTCGAACTTGTTTTAGAAATGTTTTCATGGCACGTAGACTTTTCGGAAAACTACTATGTAGTATTATATATATATATGTTTTCAAAACAATGGAGTGAATGGTTTTCTTATTATTAGCACTATTATTATAAACTTTGGTCCATTCACTTTTTCTATTTTGCACCCACTTCAGGATTTAGAATTAAGGCATACAATCTCGGCATCAGGGCACTTCTGCGTAGTGATCTTCGAGTATTCTCAGGGTAAGACCCATTCCTTTGTTCATACCTTTTATAATAATTCTTTCACATAATTCTTTAGTAGTTGTATGCTTTGAACACAATTCTACATTGGTATATCACCTTCTAATTACATATTTTAGTTTCTTGCCTGTTTTAAATAGCGTTGTCACCCTCGGGTATTGGCCAGCACGTGCCTATCATGGTATTTGGGGATATTGGGATCGGGACGTGTCACGTACTCAGATTAGCAATGTCTACTAGGGTCGAAGTAGAAGTTGGCACGAAAGGCTGTCTTTCTAGGGTTCTAGTACTTATGTTACCATAACAAAAGATAGGAATTTAGGTATGTGGAGTGGTCTCGTTGGAGTTTTCTAGAGCCTTCATATATTTCTTAATGTGCATGAAGTTTGTGTGACTCTTCGCAGAGAAGCAGTGTAAGGTTTTTACAACTTATCAACAGAGGTGTTGATCTTCAACAAAGTCTCTCAAACTTGTTCTATGGTAGAAGGGGATCCAGCGATTGGAACATCATCGCTCTCTGGGGTGATTGTAACATCAGGGTTGCTTGCCCTTAGAATGGTGGTGGCGTCTAGAATACAATTATTCCCAATGAGTGCAATGGGTGTTTCTGAGGTTAAACTGTATCCTAGTGCCATGTTAACGTTGGTTTTAACAGAGCTTTCAGTCATGTGTATGGGAAAATGGTCTAATTAGGAGGAATATGAATTAACTTTTAATGAAAGCACCAATTCTTGGGACCAAATTCGTGCACCGCCATGAAGATTGAAGATGCACAAATATGTTTACTTGTAAAATCGAGCATAACCTTGAGTTTGCCAAAGAACATGGGTGTGTGTTAATTAAAGCCTCTCCAACAATCAAGTTAGTAAGCAATATAAGACTCAAGCAGTGGGTATGAGCATAAGTATGTAATAATTGCATTACCAAAGATGAACCCTAGAATGATATATTTATACTATTCAAGGATGAGACATTTTAGGATAGTGAATCTGTATTAAACTGAGACAATCTTAGAGGATATTTAGAATGTAGATATTGCATCCTCTTAGAAGTGTGATTACTTCCAAGATTATAGAAAACTTGATGATTCCTTGCTGGATTAAGCTTACGTATATTGCGGGAAAAGCATGGTCAATCTCAGTGAAGTCGTCAGACTTCGCCCATTGATTCCGGAATAGAATGATAGTGGCATTGATGCTCTATTTATTCAACTTTGTTGCGGAGGCTATAGAGTCCATGATCGGACTTATGAGTATTCGAATTCCGGTTTGCCTTACTCAGGTTTTGGAAAATCATGCTCTCACATTAACAATATCTAATACCATAAGGGTGCGCTTGTTGCACCGGACTGTCTTGGACTGGACTAGCTTCAGGGACTAAGCTGGACTGGCTTAGACTAGACTAAGCTGGACTAGCTTAGTAAAGCGTTTGGTGCAGTATCGGACTAAGAAGCTGGACTAACAATAAATTATTATTATTATATTTTAATTTATTTTTTAAAAATATCAAAATGAATATATGGAAAAATAAATTTTGTCTCAGTTCCTTAACGTCAATAAATTTTGCACCGTCCTTTTAGTTGTAGGATAAAATGTAGTTTCCTTCGGATTACAGGTTACGCCTTTTGAATGCTAAGAAATCCGGTGTTTCTTTCCAAAAAAAAAAATAAAAAGAAATCTGGTGTTTTGTTGTACATTATTGTAATCTACGTGAATACACATTCCGCTTTGCTCGCAAACTGCAGGTATAAATTCGTTGTTTCTGCGAGCTGCTTCTCCAAAATCTTATGAAGGTAAATGAAAATTTTGCACATAATAAGCAAGAAAAACAGGATATTTTCGCTAATCGTATCATAGAGCACTCATTTATAACATTAATGAAAATCGAAAACAAAATTCCTCTTGTGCAGTAGCAACAAGGATAACACGTCATGTTTACAAAAAGTATGCCTAGGAAACAATCAGCACATAGTCGTTTGTGCAGTTCCACAACATCAATCGTCATCGTAACTATCTCCAGCCACCCTTCCAATGTCATCTTCCACAACGGTGTCCTGTATGCAAATTACAGCAATGTGTCACCATAATACATAATAGCAACTAGAAGTGCATTGTGTATGCGCGCACGTGTTTAAGTGAGAGCACGCGAGTGTCTTTGACAGGTGAAACACTTAACAAGATGTGATTAAAGATCCTTACCGGCATCTTATCCCAGTATTTCAATTTGGGATTTGTGAGAATGTAATTATCTCTTAAGAGAGCCCAGGCTGGCCCTTCACCATCCACTGCACCTTTAGACGTATGAGCCTGCATGTTAAATCATCCTTACATATAAAACTCACAAAAAACATAATTAAGAATATATACGTTGGCAATTTGGCACTACCAACAATATTATGGAACCAGGTGGAAGGACACACCCAAAATCAACATACCCATATGGAAGGACACACCCACACACACAGAGTACATACATACATACATACAGACACATACAATCATAGACTACATACATAAAAATTATTAGATGAAATTCAACAATGGCAGAACAAATATTAGATGAAATTCATATATATCTCAAATCCACTCCAGTAAAAGCTCTGAGAACTAGCAGATGAAATTTACATCAAATTCACTTTATGACAAATATTAGAAATTAGGAGGTGTCAATCATATGAAGAAACAATAGTGACACAATCTCAGTTTAAGTCATAGACTCATAGAGACACAATCTCAGTTTAAGTTAATGCAAAGAAGTGCTAGGTTCATTTATAATTGGAGATGGGGATGCAAGTTTAAGTCATAGACTCATAGAGACACAATCTCAGTTCAAATTCAAAGTTAAGCGACTGCAGAAAAACCACGATGGAAAAGTAAACATTTTGTATGATCTCCATAAGTTATAACTAAGTAAATAGGCAAAGTAAACATTTTGTATGATCTCCATAAGTTATAACTAAGTAAATAGGCAATGTCAACTCATAAACTAACAAATAAGATCATCATTTCAACACCAGAATAAAATACACTACAATCAAAATTCTCCAGACGACTCAATATTGATAGCCATACTTGCCCGGATCTATTGAATCCCACCACAAAGCCAGTCATTCGCCTGGAGCCTGTTATCCCGAATCACTCTGCTGCTTTCTTACTTCTCTTGGCCTTCTTCAGGTTTGCTTCTGTGCTCTTCAACATTTCATCTTCACTCTTCCTTTTCTCCTTCTTTCCAACAGACTCTTTACTCTTTCTCTTCTCTTTCTTTCCAATAGACTCTCATCCTCGAGCCGACAAATCATCTGCTTTCTTCCTTGTACCATCTTTTTGCTTCTCTTTCAAGGACAACCCATCTTTCTTATGATTGACAGTGGCACCATCTTCTTCTCCTGCCTTCGACGACCTTTTCAACTTCTTCTCACCAACAACATTTTCCCCATTTAACTCAGCATCATCTTTCGCCTTAGCTGATTTCTTCAACCTTTTCTCACCCTTCAACTCGCCAGCAACTTTTTCTTTCTTCCTCTTCTTCTTCCTCAATTCGCCACTGCCCAGTTCATCATTCTCACTTTGCTTACCTTCCCCAATGTCCACATCACCAACAATAACGAAATCATCATCATCAAACACCTCGCTGACATTCCCCCAAATTTGAAGGAAATTCACTGAAATTGAACATGAAAACACGGAACGGAAGATATCACGAAAACCCAACCACAATTAGAGTTGTAAATTTCAAATCAAGCAAAATTGAAATTACACAAATTAAGATGGCAATCCAATCCACTAACCCAGCAACTAAACATTTAAGAAATCAAACATCACAGAGAAATCAAAACAAAAATAACCCTTCAAATTTAGATCAACGAAAAACACAAACGAGAAAAAAAGTGAAGAAATTGAGCTGACCTCTGAAATTCCCATTTGAATCCTCATCAGCTCACCCACCGTCATAGCCCCTTTAGGCTTCCCAAGACCCAGACCCGGCTGACCCACTCTTCTTGGAGCTGAAGCCTGGCGATTTGAACCCTTACCTTCTTCATCTTGTGGGCAGCCGTGGAAACAGACGAGCGAAGTCTTAGCAATCCTGATGTTTTCGGGGGCCCTCACTAAGACCGCCCAATCCGGGTGTTAGTCGAAGCGAGTCCACCCTAGTCCCATTAAACTTAGTTCCCGTGTAAAACAAACATGGGATTACACTAGAGATTAATCCAGTCCAATCCAAGGAGACTTAGTGATGCCAAACAAACGAGCCCTAATAAAACATAATATTACACCTGGCATTTATGTCATGTGTTCCGTGTTCATGTCACTTTTGTGACATTCCTGATAACTTAACAGATCGTGTCGTGTATCACTCGTTAAAATGAACAGGTAACATGACTCGTTTCGAACTTGATCCATTACTACTAACGAATAAAATGACTCGACCCGTTACCCGTCAAAGAAAAATATATTTTAAACCAATAAATAATCATAAGAAAAACATAATACTAAAAATGTAAGTGAGATCAAAGAATCCAACGGTAAGGATTTTATTTCACATGAGTGAGATTAAATCCTATGGTTATTGTTGCAGTAAGGTTTTTTAATAGATTTTTAATTAATCTAGAAGTGTGAAGAAATATATCTTTAAACACTCCTAACGACAAGCTCTACAATTTTTGTGAAAATGTCAACTTTGAAATTCGCCATCATAATCCTATAAAACCATAGATTTAAATTTAAACGTTGATTGTCATGTTTCTGCTCCATTCTTCTAACTAAATTTTATTTTTTAGATTTTCTTTTTCAAAAACATGACATTTTAGCAGAAGCAGAAAGATGAACGGTTCAGATCATTGATATCACATTTAGATTTTTACGGTTAGTGAAAATATTTCTTGGAGTTTCTAAAGTCCCTAGAATATATGTATAATTGACTCATATTTCAGTTAATTGTAAACATCGAAATGTGATATCAACGATCCAAACCATTCTTTTTTTTTTTTTTTTTTTTTTTTTTTGCATTTGCTAAAAGATCATGTTTTCAAAAACAAAAATCTAAAAAATGAAATCCAATGAGAAGAATATAGTGTAAACGACCACCGGCGGTTAAATATAAATCTAGGATTTATGGGTTTTGTGCCAAATTTCGGAGATGACTCCTTTAAAAAAGTTGTAAAGCTTGTTATTACGAGTGTTTGTATATTCTTTTCACATTTTTCACACTTCTACGTTGATCATTATGAATTATTAATTTGCACTCAAACAATAAAACACTATTCATGAGGGTTTGGAGGGTTTTAAAAATCATAATGACTATGTAACCATCTTTTAAGCGTAGAGAATGCAATCACAAGTGTTTATATATTTGTTTTCACATTTTCACACATTTTCATTAATTATTATATTTTTTTTTATTATGAGCATTGACATATTTTTCACACCAGAAAATTAATTATTATGAATTTTTAATGGGCTTTAGTAATTTTAAATTGCTTTGGTATTTTTAACGTGCTTTGGAAATTTTTAATCTCATGTGAGATTAAAACTATGGATGGCTATTTTATTAAGGTTTTTTAGTAGTTTAAAATTATCAAACTAACTTTTTTCTTATCAGGTTGAAACGGCTAATTCACAGGTAAAACTATTAAAAACTCATTAACATGTAACCCGATAACAATCTGATTAGTTAACATATTGACCCGAACTCCATTATCTTCGTGTTATTTCGGATCTTGTTAACATGTCATGTAAGAAATTTTTTGGTCTACATAATATTGTATATACAAAATCATATTGTATATACAAAATCAACATCATAATATTGCATATCCAAAATCAAAATAAGTCAACTTCGTTAAAACTTCTGTCAAAATAAGTAAAGTGTCACACATATGAGACTTAATCGAGGGGTAAATATGGCAAGCTAAATGAAAAAAATTGTAGCAATGATTCCTCAACTTTAACCTAATTGGAGAAATGGTCCCTCAACTTTAACCCAATTGGACAAATAGTCCCTGAATTTTAACCCAATTGTAGCAATGATCCCTTAACGTTAACCAATTGTAGCAAAAGTCCTTCCAATATAGTCATTTTGATGGAATTTTGACGGAGTTGACGAAAAGGACCATAGCTGCAGGTTTTGATGAGTTAAGAGACCAATAGTAATGGATTTTTGATTGAGCGCACTCCAATTGGGTTAAAGTTGAAGGACTATTACTGATAAATTGGGGTTCATGCTACATGGTGAATGTTTTCATTTTATTAGAGCTTATAAAATATCGATTATGTGTTTTAGAAGAACTTTGAATTGGATGACAAAGAAAGTCTTTGAATGCTAGTTGTAGAAGAACCTCCTCCAAGAACCTTCATTTCCTTAAAGCAGCAGCAAGAGCGTGCTGATAACGTGTTGTAGGCCTATTTTACTGAGGGTAAAGAGGGAGAAGGATTAGTGGCAAATAGAGAGAGATAGAGAATCTGGTGATTCTGTATTAATGATTTCTTATCCATTGTGCATTTATTTATAGTCATAAGAAAAGAAGAATCCTTACCTTTCAAGTAATAGATTACAACTAGAAACTATCTAAAAGATACTATTGAATCCCATAAGTATTTACAGAACACTCCTAACTAATTTTAGGACTGCATCAATGTAAATTTTTCCAATATATAAAGGGTTGATTTAGGCCAATATACAATAAAATCTCTATATGGAGTAAAAGTAAAATCTCTATATGGTCTAATAGTATTCCTCTTCACTTGTAAGTGAGAGGTCTTAGGTTCGATTATCGCCAAGAGTGAATTTGAACCACATTATTGCTAGCATTTTGTGAGGCAAAGCCCATCCCTCCCCCTTAGGCCATCTCCAACCGAAGGAAGGCCAAAGAGCCATGTTTAGCCCTATAACCTTGCAAGAATTTTTTTTAATGAACAGTGTCAGACCATATTTTATATCATCTCCAACTGAGGGGGCCAAAGGGCCATAGGTCAAAACATAGCATTTTGACAAAAAACCCATCTCCAACCGAATGGGGCTACTTACTTCAAAGTTAATTGTCAATACAACACGACCACTCCTGTGAATTATTAGTATTTCTTTTTATTTATAAATCAGGTATTAAAGAATCATTTTTAAAATTATAACTAACTTTCAATTCTCATTAAAAAATAAAAATAAATCGCATTATTGTTAACCTTCACTTCTTAAAATGGATTAGGATTTTCTCCTCTCCTCTTTTCATTCCCTTTCATTCACTTCCCTCATATTTGAACGGTCATGGTTAAATCAAGTAAATATCTTATATTAATTTTTTATAGAAAGAAAACGGTCACGATTAAATCACGTTAACATCTTGTATTAAATTTTTATAGCAAGAGAAAGATAAAATAAGAGAATGTGAGAGAAGATAATGGAATGGAATGAAAAGAGGAGAGGAGAAAATCCTAATCCATTTTAAGAAGTGAAGGTTAACAATAATGCAATTTATTTTTATTTTTTAATGAGAATTGAAAGTTAGTTATAATTTTAAAAATGATTCTTTAATACCTGATTTATAAATAAAAAGAAATACTAATAATTCACAGGAGTGGTCGTGTTGTATTGACAATTAACTTTGAAGTAAGTAGATCTGAAATCTACCACTCCTTCCGGTCTTCCCTCAAAGTATAGATTCCAGAGAGATGAGAGAGAAAGACAGACAGACAGGTAGGAGAGAGAGGCTTTTCACAGTCTACTGAAATACACTTCAAACCCTACTCAAAAACCAATTTTCTCACTCCTTCTCCGGTCTGATAGAGAAAACTTCATGGGTTCCTATGAACTTACAAATGTACTCTTTTCGAAGATCAAAACCTTAGACCCAGAAAATGCCATCAAAATCATGGGTTATCTTCTCATTCAAGATCTTGCCGAGAAGGATTTGATTCGTTTGGCGTATGGTCCCGAGAGCCTTTTGCACTCACTGATTGTGAGGGCTAAAATCCAGTTGGGACTTTCGTCAAACACTTCGTCCGTATCGTCCACTCCTTCCTCTCCTTCACCGCTAAATCCCATAGCCAGACCAACCAACGCCAACCCGTTTTCCCAGTCCTCTCCTAGAATCCCAAACGGCTTTGACTTTGGGAACAACTCTTCTTCTCCCTCTTCGAATCCCTGGCCGCTTTCTGGCTTCCCAAACAACTCCATTAGCCCAAAGGCAAGCCCTTTACTCTCTCATGACAATATCCGGGCCGGGTCCTTCTCCGTTCCAGTACATTCGCACCAGTTCTGTAAGGATGGTGGTGGTGGGGGCGGTGGTGATGGGTGGCCAGGAAGTGACCTCATTGACGAGCATCAACTCAGCGAGTACCTCTCCTTTCTCAACGAGTCTTCTTCCTCTTCGAGGCCGGGCGATTCCATTGATCCCAGGCTCGAATTGGGTCCCGGGGTTCCTGATTGGGTTCATTCGGTTAACAATGGCGACACCCATTTCCACAAAAGGAGCTATTCGGCCAGCGATGCTTGTCTCGGGTCCGAGGACCCTGCTTTGGGAGTTGGGTTCAAGCCGTGTCTTTACTTTGCTAGAGGGTTTTGCAAGAATGGAAGCAATTGCAAGTTTGTGCATTGCGGTTTTGCTGATTCCCTGGACGCTCCTGGTGCTATTGTGGGGTCTCTCAGTAATCTCGATGGTTTCGAACAGCAGGAGGAGATGTTGCGGTTGAAAGCCCAGCAACAGAGATTGGCTGCTGCCTCTCAGTTCATGGCTGGAGCGTCGCCTTCTTCGTACAACAAGTACATGAATTTCCTATTGCAACAGCAGAATGACCCTCAGAGGTAAATTGGAAGTCGCGGATTTCGCTATTTTCTGTTGCTTTGTTATTTATTTTGAGTATGTTGAAAACAACCCATTTCGCTCTGTATAGATTGATGTCTTTTGTGTGGAACTGTTGTTGACTGCAAGTGCATTCTTGGTTTGGGTTGGTTATTGGTTCTGTCTCTTTTTTTGGTTCAACATTTTTGTTTCCTCGGTGGAATCTGTTGCATTGTAGAGTTGCGGCCATGATGATGGGGGAAGAACTTTTCAAGTTTGGGCGGTGTCGACCTGATAGAAACGAACTTTTGGCAATGGCTTCTGTTGAAAAGGCGAACTCAGCTTCAAGACAGATCTACTTGACATTCCCAGCTGAGAGCACTTTTAGAGATGAAGATGTTTCAGAATACTTCAGGTAGAATTATACATCCTATTACTTATTATTTGTTAGTTGGACCAAGTCTTCCAACAA